TGATACTCACTTACTTGCAAGATATAATTATTTCCTACTCTTGAGGATTGTAACAGAATAAACATATATTCCATTATCTCCAAGATGCTTTTTATGTAGAACGAATGTATAGTAGAAACTCCAAATTTGATGATTGGTTTTGCAGATGTATTTAATTTATCAGATTCTCATAAAGCTCAATCACAAATTGGATACGTTTTTACAATTGGTGGAACTGTAGTCTCATTGCGTTCTCAGATATAAACTCTGGTTGCAACTTTTGCGAAATTATGAAGAAACGGTAACGCTTTGTTAAGCATGTCGAGAATATGTATGCCTTAGATCAATGAGTCATCCCATATAAGAAACAAGTGCGATAGTTACAAAAAAAAGGAACCAAAAAAGTATTTAAAGAATGCGGCTTATGTCGCTCAACTCAAAGAACGCTATACCAAGATCGACCAAATCAAGAATATTCCTCCCTTATTTTTCTCATACATAAATAAATCAAGAAGTGGATAGTGAGTATGTACAGTCATGTGATAATCAAACTGATTTGTTCACAACGTCCACAATATCGGAATTCGTCATTTGCATGACCTATGGAGAAAGAACTAGGTCCATCATTCTGATGAGAAGATTACGTCACTTTACTCATTTTCCTTTATCATAGTTTTTTTAATCTCAATTTTTCATGACTATGTTTTTAACAAGACAATATGCATACAAGATGAATAATCAATGGAAAGTATTGTAAATGATGATTCATATTATAGGGACAGATATCCTCATCTCCAAATAAGTTATCTATCACCTTTTATTGTTTTTGTTTCATATATTTCACAAGGTATTTGACTATAAATAGTCCTCTCCCTTTTACTTTGTAACATGATCGGAAACCCAATCTGAACCGAAATATTTCGGGTATCCGAATATATCCGAATCAAGTTTATATACTTAAATATATTAGTTACTTTTAGAGTTAATATCCAGAAAAGTATTCAAAATATATAAGATATTTTGTCGTTGTCCAAAATATTTTAAAATGTATACAAATTATCAAAAGTAAATATCGACAATAGTTAAAAATACTCAAAAAAACAAAGATACTTAAAATATCTATTGATTTATCATCCAAATATTCAAGTCAAACCAATATTTATGTTAATTCTAGGCCTTATGACCTACATTACTCAAATTTATATGTTGTTATTTTTATTTTTAGATTTGAGCAATTGAAAGTATATAGATCTTAAAATTAAAAATAATTTAAAAGGGTTATCCGAACCCGAACCGAACCCGCACAGACTCAAACTGAAATTTATAAATAACTGGATTTGGCTGAAATTTTTAACCCAAAAAACCCAAAACCCGAATAGACCTGAACTGAATCTGAATGGGTACGGGAACGGCCACCCTACAAGACAATACAACATCTAGATCAACAAACTATAAACATTTTTTAGCACATTCAAAAAATATAAATATCTATTAACATTTCGTAACTGCAATTTTTAGAGTGAATTTACTCTTGCTATTAATGTTACGATCACAATATTATAAGAATTATGTATATATATTAAAGATAAGAATTACAACCTTTGAGGCAAGACAAGTTATGAGAATGATTCTTGAGAGTCCTTAGAAAATTAAGTTTGTCCATCTAAATATAATAGTTTTATTAACCTAACCATAAACTCCCTTATTAATTTAAAAAGGTATTCTCCATTCTTTCCTTAAATAAAAGTTAAAGAATTATCTGATGTAATTAAAATATGTATATATGAAAATTAATGGTTTTTAATAATAAAGATTTGTTAACAATTTGTATACCCTCCATCATTTTTTAAAATATTTTTTATTAAAATAATCTACACAATTACATTAACTATATAATAAATTCGTATATGTTTTATTTAAGAAACATTTTTGCTAGAATAAGATACAAATGGTTATAAAACCACATGAGTAAGAAGTATTATTTAATAGGTGTGTATATTAATATATATATATATAATATCATTTAAATTAAACTATATACCATATCAGTATACATACTTATAATTTGATATTTTCATAGAACAAATATTGAGAACTTAATATTTTAATTTTGAAATATGCATTGAAATTTTAAAAATGATTATAAATTACTAAAATTGTTAAATATCTCACATTAAAAAGTTTATAGATGTTTATAGTTATAAAACCATATGCTTATGAATTTCATTAAATAAATAGTCATATTAAAAATATATTATATATCTATGTTATTATATAAAAATTGATTGTTTTGATTTATTTGCCATATAACGATTGTTAATAAACAAGAATGATTGTTTGATTTATATGTAATATCCGGGACTATTTAATTATATACGTAATAACTAATGATTTCTCAATTATTTATTATAATAAAAAACTGATTGCTTCTACTTTCATTTTCAGTCTTTGTATTTCAGTTAAATGTCGTCTAGTCAGATCTCCTCTGCTGTTTCAATCGTTGCTAACACCAGGGACGAAGGTCCTTTGTTGTTCCCAACCCACAAGCAAGTGCATCTCGTGGACTGATGAAAACTCAGGGAGACGTTTCTTCAAGTGCAATGAACATGGGTTCGTTGTTTGGCTTGATACGGCACCGCCCTGTCTTTGGCAAAAGCAAAGACTCCTTGAAGCTCGGGACAATATCAGACATCAAACCCAAGAAATCAAGGCTTTGTGAGATGCAATCAGTCAAGTGAACGCACAGTTATCTGCCATCCAGCTCTGTCGTTCTAGCGGTTCTACAACTGATTTGTTGAAGTCGATTGAAGATCTCGTCAAAGAACAAACCTTTGAGTCAGATAAGAGATTTTGTCTCTTTGTTGTTTCTTCGTGGGGAGGGTTCGTCGTTGTCGCTGCCACAATTATCGTTTACATGCTTAAAAATTAGGAAATTAACTTATACTTGTTGTTTTAATGGTTATGTTGTCGTACTCTTTACCATCCTAACCTATGTTTGTTATATGTAGTGTTTGCTGGATCTATGTTGTCTTTGCGTATTATATTTCACCGGTTTGGTTATTAATTAAATGTTGTGTTACATTGAAAATTACATTTCCTGTAACATATGTGCAATTTACTTTTCAATTAGTGTTTACTCTTGAAATCTATGGAGGGAAAATAATTTTTCCATTGCAATCCTCTAAAATAAAATGAATTCCATTTTCCATATCAATCCAACTTCACGAACAAACCATGTACTATACAAAATATTAGTTTCTCAATTAAGTTTTGTAATCATGTATGTTCCATGCGCGTCTAATATCTTTCGTCAGTGTGAACCAGTAGTGGAGTTGGACAAGTTTATCAAAAAGGTCAATTCATAACTACCATATATTATAAGGGTCAATTAACTAAATTCTACATCATTTTCCATGTTTCCAAAAAATATACATGTAAAATTTATTTTTAATAATTCATAAGAAACATAACCTACATGTTAATAAGGTGGCTCCGCCACTCGTGTGAATTGTAAGTGAGAGAGTAAATAAGACAAAACGTCTCTTTCCAAACTGCACCTGACCGGTGTATCTCCAAAATATGCCTACTATAGTTTAAGGTAGATTATGTTTCCTATGTACTCTAAACATATAGAGAAGGGGAGAAATTGGTCAATTCACTTTGCCTCATATATCTGATTACCTAAATTATAAATTTTTTGGTATTGGTAACTAATTATCTTTCATTTAATGGTTTCTATCCAAATAGCTCTAAAATAAAAGACATAAATCAACTTATGAATTTATTCTTATGATATATCATTTAACGCGGACATAAGCTAGTTAACACATCTCTCCTCAAACAAGAGGACAAGAACGACGTCTCCTTTCTCCGGTTTACTGGTGTCAAAGACTCTCTCTTTCCCTTTATTCCTCCTTTTCCTTTTGCCTTCTTTAGTTTCTGTCTAATCTCGTCTGATATGCAAATTTCCTCTGTGTTTCCCGATTCTAAACCGGAGGTCTCTCTCAAGATCGAAGCAAAGTACGGTCGGTGGATCTATGGAGAAGCGGCGAGGACGTGGAGAAGCTGAAACGGAGAAAGTCGGCTTTTAGGGTTGAAGTGTTGCGCCAGATCTAGGTTTCTCGTTTTTTCAGATCTTCGGCCGAGACTTCACGGCGGCGGCGCGTGGCTCAGTGGGAGCTCTCCTCCATCTTGGATCTACCATCCTCTGCGGTGGTGTGATGTTTGGAGGAGCAGATTGATGGTTGGTGGCCATGGTTTGGTTTCTTCGGTTCCCGGAGACGTCGCGACGCAAGGTTCCATCCCGACGGAGTTTTCAACCGGAGGTATGGACTTTGATGAAAGTCGTGGTGAAATGGTACATCCCAGCGCTGGTTGGGCTTCTTGCCCGGTTCGGTGGTACTAGCTCATACCATTGGAAGCTAAGTTTTCTGGTCCAATCACACTTGCCACAGTCAAACCCCGATTTTTGCAGTACGGACAGGTTCCGTCTCTTTGGTTTTTGGTTCGAAATCTTAGCTCCAGTGGTGAAGGGTCAAAACTTGATATACACCTTACGGTGTGGATATCGTAGTCCATGTGCAGCATTCATATATTTGGTGGCTAATGATTTGTACTGATTTTTTTCAAGTTCTGAGTCTAATCTCTTTTGGGTCGTTAAGGTGAAGCGTTTGAGTGCGGCAACGACAACCTTGTCAAAAGTTGCATCGTTTTGGTGAAGACGCTTTGGTCCCAGAGCTGAATTCATAACCGTTGATGACTAAAACTAGAGTTTTAATGTATAATCTTGGTTTGGTCTAGTTGCTTGTGTCTTAATGCTTCAAAACCTTGTTTTTAGTGGTAGAATTAGGTGGTGTAAGGGGCGGTTCATTATGAGTCTTATGATGAACTCATACTCGCAATGGTGAAAAAATACAATAATGTACTCTAAGTTGCGATGGATCCGAGTGAGAGATCACCTAGTGAGTGTTCTAGGGTGTTTTTAAGATGCATTGTTGTAGTGGGGTAAAATTTGTGTGGTCAAAATCTTTGTACCAAATTATAGGTGAATAAAAGTTGAAGTTGAGAAGAAAAAAAAAAAAACCTAATTAACACAGAAATCTCCGGTCCCGAAAATTTACGTTGAACAAGCAAATATATATGTGATTACAAACGATGCATAGGGAGAGGAACAGAAGAAGCTATATTAGTAACTAAAAGCTCTCATTTTTGCAGCTGCTTCTTTGATCTGTTCAATAGTGAAAATGCCAAAGATATCATCATCTTTAACGGCGTTTATCACAGCTAGTGCTAGATCATCGACTTTAACCGGTGGAGCCAAGACGAGATCAGACGCAGGGAGAGACCTCAACGGTCTAATGAACCTCTCTGCAGCATCGTATAACTTGTCTAGTGGTTCCCCGACCAGATCAAGCGGGACCTCGAATCCGTTCACTTTTCTTTTCCCATATATGAAACCAGGTCTCAGCACAACTCCTACAACGAAATAAAGATCATAAAAACATCTGATAAGTTTTTGATAAGACTGTTTAACACTAGTTTCTAATCCCTAAGGTGGGCTGGATCTATTCTTTTACCGGAGTTGGGATACTTGGAGAGGAGTTCTGCCTCTGCGCTACGTTTTCCGGTGAAATAGCCGCTGGATAGAACAAACGGTGGAAGATTGTAGTCGTGAACAGTGATCAAGACAAACTTAGGAACCCCTGCACAACATTAAAAATTTATTAAAATGAAAAAAAAAAAACATGGAGACATACTTAACTCAAAGTTTTAGCTATTACAGATAGAGAGGTATACTTAACCGAAATCCTTAGCAGCATTCACAGCGATAACGTTAGCTTCACCATTGATTCTTTTCATCTGTTCTTCATTACCAAAACCACCAATGGTCGAAACTACAGCCGTAGCACCGAGAAGTACTTCATCCCAGTTCAAATAGAAAACATCACCTAAATAAAGACGAAAACACGCACATACACATAAAGAAAACCAAACTTGGGGATGTACAATGTAATGAAGCGAAAGTGGTTACCAGTAACCCATGTAACTTGATCCAACCATGAATCTTGCAAGCTAGGACGACCAGACCTAAAGAAAGCAATCGAGGTTGATTAGGTCAAAAAGTGAAGATTTTGATGCAATCACTGTGTCTATACTCTTTCTCTCTTTTTGTTTTACCTGCTGACACTTACAACCTCGATTCCGTTGGAGATTGCTTGTTTGCAGATCGCTGAGCCAACGAAACCATTGCCTCCAAGAACTACAACCTAAACAAGACAAAAGAAATGTCTTGTTAAATGAAACATGAAGTCTGATAAACACACAAGTAATGTCTTGCTCTTATTATACCCTTTCAGATTTGACATCTGCCACAATGTCAATTGTAGCTTCAGCATAGCTGCACTTAACAGAAGACTTGCACAATCTGTAAACATAAAGAGGGGAAAAGCTTCATTCCATAGTATAATGAAGGGTAACTTCTAAAAGTATTACAGCCATAAGAGCTCTCTCTAGACCCTAGAGGCAACTTTGATCAATTCTATAAACAAACTATTAATTGGAGCTTCAGCATAACTGCACTTAACACAGACTCAACAATCAGTAAACACAAACACACAAGAAAGCTTGAATTCACAGTGTAATGGAGTCTAACTTTTCAGCTGTACACTACAGCCTACAGAGGAAAAAAATGATCAGTTTCTCATCTTTGATCTCAGGGATTCCTCAGAGATGCTAGTTTCGTGAATCTGTTAAAGAATACTGCAAAAAGATCTCAATTTTCAAACCCCAATGGTGAGATGATTTTTTTTCCAATGCTGAGATTTTGATATGTGTTTTTTATTTTGTAAACATGTTAAAAGATTTTGATATGTTGTCCACCAAAAGAATAGTCTTTTCTCATAAATCAATGAACTTCAAAGAACAAAAGTAGTTCTAGAGAGAGAAGGAGGGAGGGAGGGAGGGAGGGAGGATGACCGGGGAGATAAGGAGGGAGGACGAAATGAAGCGCCGGCGAACGCAGATGGGTGCGGTGAAATAGCCGGAAAGCTGAGAAACGATGACATTCTTTGATTTTTCTATTTTTAATTAATTATAGGAAAAAAATAAGAGGTGACTTTAACAGCTGAAAATTTTCGGACAGAAACTAGTGTCTGAAATTCAGCGGAGAAGACAGCAAAAGCGAGAAAAATGTGGTTACAACTGACGCGGCGGAATTGAAGCGAGAAAAAATACAACATTAATATATATATTTTGTTTGGTTTAAATCGATTTTATGAAACAGACGCTTGTCGAGGATATTAAATGAGGCCCAAATAGGATTAAAAGCGGCCCGCTTGTTGTTAATACGAGATAAGTTGGTAAAGGGTGGATAAGTCTTGAAGACTCGTGAAGAAAAAGAGATTTGTGTTTGATATTAGAGAAGAATGGTGAAATCGACAAGTAAGGATGCTCAGGATCTGTTCCGTTCTCTTCACTCCGCTTATTCTGCTACTCCCACTAACCTGAAGGTTCGCACCATTGTTGATTCTCTGTTTTCCTTTTTCTTTTCTTAGCGAATCCTGTTGAATATTGAATGCGTCCTTGATTTGGTAGATCATCGACTTGTATGTTGTCTTCGCTGTCTTCACTGCTCTGATCCAGGTACTCTTTTAAATTTATAGCTTCTAGATCTGTGATTCTCCCCTCGGTTTCTTTAGATTTCGTATCGATCTATTTCTTGGTCAGATATAGGTCATGGATTTAGATCTAAAGATTTGTTTATTATAACTTCAAATTGCAATGTTGGTTTTGCTTTGTTATGCATTACTCTCTTGTTTCACTATAAATCGAATGCTATGCTAAATGATTTTGTGTGTTTCTAAGGATTCAAGTCCACACTAATTATCTCAAGGAATGAAACATCTCTTGTTCTTTGCTTCTTGATTAGCAAAAAAAAAAAAAAAAAAAACCATGGATAAAGTAATCTGACTTCTCTGTTGTGCATGCGTAGCATTTAAACCATTTTCATTAGTTTACGAACAATGGAATTCCCAAAAGATCAAGTACCTAGCAAGTGAGTGTGAGCTTTCTCATCTTCTTTTTCTTTTTGACTCAACAGGTGCTTTATATGGCTTTGGTGGGATCATTTCCGTTTAACTCGTTCCTGTCTGGAGTTCTCTCTTGTATCGGGACGGCTGTTCTTGCTGGTAAGCCTTTAGCTGTTCCTCTTACAACATACCAATACGTGTACATTTAGAAAATGTATAAATTTAACAATCTTCTTTGTTTTCTGTTCATAGTTTGTCTCAGGATTCAAGTGAACAAAGAAAACAAGGAATTCAAGGTAGTTATTTCTCAACAAATTTATATGATTATTCCATTTCCATCTAAACCTTTGTGACTCTAGCTATACTGTGCTCGTTAGTGTAGTAGTGCAAGACAATTGTAACTAACCAACACGGAATGGCACGTGAAATGTAGCAATCTGATAAGAGTTTAGAAGGGAGTTAGGCAGAAACTGTGTTTCTTTTAATTTTTTTTTGCATTCTTGTTCTTTTACATTTCTTTTCATTGGAGAAAATATACAAGTATGTTATCACATAACCTCTTTGTCTTATGCATGTTGAGAAAAACTTGTGAACATGAGAATCAAATGGTCCTGCAATTTATAATATATACATAATTATCAAACCTAATCCCTTTGAATGCTATACAGGATTTGGCACCGGAAAGAGCATTTGCAGATTTTGTGCTCTGCAACTTGGTCCTCCACCTGGTGATCATCAACTTCCTCGGATAAGTTCTCATCTCCTACCTTACAGAGGTTGCTTTCATGTTATGGAGTCACTTAAATCAGAATCTGTAGTTTGAGATAAGTTTATATTTTTGTTAAAGAATCAAACTTTTTAGTCCCTCCAATAAACACCGTCTCAATGGGGACCTTTGACTCGAATTGGTTCGCCTCTACCCAGACCACTTATAATCCGACTCGTGTACAATAATAACAATCTTCAAGTTGGTGTGAGCTCTGTGCCGTTCAGTGGACACCACAACAAATTCACTGCCACTTTTGATAAGAGAAAAAGGCTATCTAATCATTGAATCTTATTTACTCGTGTGGTAAAAAGCTATTTTACAGTAGACTTTGAACCACAACAATATCTTATTTTGCAAGTAACCACAATATTGACTATAACCTTTTTTAATAAAAAAAAAAAAAAAAAGCGTCTAAACTCTAAACACAAACATGACTTCTTCTTTCTTTTTGAGAACTACACACAAACATGACTTCGTCAAATAAACACTCACGCAACTAAGAGAAAATAAGATATAAGAGCACCATTAATGGAAATTGCTTAGAGAGTTGCTTAGGAGGAGAGGGTTGCGTAATTTGAAGAGAGAGAGAGTGAAGCACTTTTCACTCTCTCTCTTTTCAAATTAAGCAACCCTCTCCTCCTAAGCAACTCTCTAAGCAACCTCTAACTATCCCTTATATATTAAACGAGAAACATTTAAAAAATTGTAACCTCAATTTTGTAATAATTAAAATAGACCTCATGCTTAGGTGTCACTCAATTAGGTAGTCAATTACATTCAATTGAAAAATAAGTATGTCCACATTCGATTTTTATATGTCGCTAGATACATTCGTTGGTCAAATTATATGATATGATGATATGATATGATATTTATGATAGAAGTATTTATGACTGTTCCCCTAGATATAATTACTATATTATTTTCTTTCCATAAATAAAACCTACGGAATTACCATAAATGACTAATATATATATATATATATATATATATGACACTTAATGATTGTTCCCCTAGATAGAATTACTATTTTATTTCCATAAATAAAACCTACGGAATTACCATAAACGACTAATATATATATATATGACACTTAATGATTCTAATAATAAATATTTGATAACAGTTTATATATCCTCCATCATTTTTCTTGAATTTTATTATTAAAATAAATTAAACAATCAAATTAGCTATAAAATTAAACTTTAGATTTTTTCGTATAGGTTATATTTTGAATTTTAAAAAACGAGAATAAATAACTAAACTATTAAAATTATTATGTTAAAAATTAATGATCAGTAGTTTAACATTTTTTTTTATAAAAAGATATACATGATTTTAAAACCATATAAGTAAAAAGTATCATTCAATAATAAAACAAATTTATATATACAGATTAAACTATATACCATATAAGATTACATAAATATTTTAATTTCAAAATTTTCAATTAATTTTCAAAAACATTTATAAATTATAAACTTATTAAATTTTTCACATTGAAAATTTTTTTTATCAATGATTTAAATATCTTAGTTCTTTTTTTTAATTTTATATTTTTAAAAGATATTAACAATCGATAACATGGTTATTTTTGGCATATACCATACAAACCGAATGGATGTGATTTTATAAAAACCATAGGATTTGGATATGGTTTGATTTATAACCGATTAAACTGAAACATGTAAATATGTATATTTATATAACGACGCATGAATATCTATTTGTTACATGAGTTGAACTATAGTAATAATTTGTAAATAGCTAACAATTTATTACAACTGAGACTTCTTATTTTGATCTTTTGCTTTTTTAACAGTAACTAAATTGAAGTAAAGATTATAAATTTGATGGACAACAATTAGTTGAAATTCTTTACAACTTTTTTTTATCTTTAAACAAACAGAGTTGTGTTCAATCGAAGACATATTGGTTTGATGAACACTAAATATGGAAGAATATAAAAACTTTTCTTTCATGCTTCTATTTTGTTTTTTATTTTTATTTTCAAAATTTAGTGTTTTAATATTAATTCTAGATTTGATCATTTTATTAGATGATATAAGCCTTTTTGTTTTTTATTCTTTTATTTAAATATATAATATTTTTTTAATAAATTACTCTGTGACAATATGACTCTAAATATGATCATATTATATATTTGTATAATATATAATATGATCTCAAACTAAATAATTATGTTTTTTGATATAAAATTGAATAAACTGAAAACCGATGGTATATAAACCAAATCAAACTGACGTACATATAGATTTAGAATAGTAGTTATATTTTAATGATCGAAATACCAAAAAATCGAGCCGAACCGAAACCCGATATCCGGATTGAACACCTCTAATCCGAATGAAACCGAACTATTGTTTCATTTTTAAAAACATAATAAAAATAATAGCTTCATCCCGTGCAAGGTGCGGGTCTTATCCTAGTGTTTATATATAATTTGGTCTCGACAACTAATTAAATTAGAGTACTAACGTGATCGGTTGTTGTTGAGGTAACGTGAAAATTATATAAGACTTGTTACCATCAACCATCAAGGGAATATTAACGTGAACACCTATATAACTAAATATTCACTACAAATAAGGATTTTAATTCTCTTGGAAGCTAAATTATTAGTTTTTTAATGTTTCCATTCACCATCGACCAAATTGTAATGAAATAACTTTTTAATATTTTTTTTTTCTTTTTCTTCAATCATTATCTAGATTTGATTTGATTTGATTTTTCATGCATTTGATTAAAATATGAAACTATTTGTTTGATATCAAAACCGTTTAAAATTCATATAACATGAAACCAAAAAAATCTAAAACCTCAAGCATTTTAACCGAATAAATATTGATCAAGAATAATAATTATATTTTAATAAATTAAAAACCAAACTAACATAAAACCGAACCGATATCAAGATTAGACATATGTTATGTGGAAACAGAAAGCGTCGAAACGTAATTTTAGAAATACTTAGGAAACTGATATGTGTTGGAAGCGTATATATATATAACACCAAAGTTAATATATTGAACATAATATTTTAAATAGGAAAATTCAGTACAAAATTTATATACTATAACTTAAATAAAATAATATGCATAATTACAAATAACAAATATAATAGAACATGTGTAAATCATATGTATAATTACTTTGGAACTAATAAAATAAAATACGAAAGTTAATTATTTAATACACACCAACTGATAATACAAATAACATGAAGCAAAACAAATAAGTGATAAAACAAATTACAATTATGTTATTATTCAGAAACCTGGATTTGAAATGGATTTACGTTTTTAGTATTCAGTTCTATTGTTATTTATGGATTAAGATTTTATAAAATAAAGTGAGTTAAATTGTGTTATAAATCAATTAAAATTTGCAAGCCTACAAGAAAAAATTCATCTTCTTTACACATCAATAATACAATCATCGTCAAGCTTTCGAACATCATAATTCTTAAACGTGATTCCGTGACGATTTCATGCGATTCCGAATGTTTCCAGTTCCGATTCTGCTTCGGAAATAAGAAACGTGAAAATGAGTTTTTAAGTCCTTAGTCAAATCAAAGTAGTATTTTAGATGTCAATCCAAGTTCTAAGTGTTTTGATTTATAGAGATTACAAGCTATGATTAATCTAAATGCAATCAATATAGAGATGTGAAATTACTTAAGAACAATACAAAATGCAACAAGTAACAAGTTTTCTCTCAATTAGAGAAGATAAGACTCATGGGAGTAGGTATTTTGTTTAGGTGATCAAGTTTCAATCTAAGGTCGCAAGCTTTCAATCAAAGTGTGTTCCTTAAATCTAAACTACTTAGTTAAGCAAGTTCTAGGTCTAGACAAATGCTCATTTGCTTTCTTTAATCAAACACAAATGGTCATTGGCTTATTTACTTCAAGCAATCATTAAGAATATGTTTAATAACTATCTAAAACTCCCTAGATACAAATGATCATTGGCTAGGTAGTTTTAGAGCTAGGAAAGTTGGTTCAGACATTTACACATACGCCTTGTGGGCAGAAAATGGCTTATGATCATGATTAAAGAGGCCAACAATAATCAAGCATTAAAATCACTCAACTAACAAAGAAACACCTAAATCTAACACATAACACCTTAGATTTACACTTAATCACCCTTACCAACATATCCCATGAATTTAAAATGGATCTACTCATTAATCCACATGATTAACTCAACAACAATGGTTGATTGTTGGTTAAACGTGATTAGAGATCAAGATTACTTAACAAACTTAAGAAAATAAGATGAAAAAAATATAAAGTTATGATCTTTCACCAAATAAGTACTTAGCTTTCAGAGAGAAATACAAGACAAGCCTCCCAAAATAAGGTTTAAGGGTATTTATACTAATCCCAAAACAAGTAGGGTAAACCAAATAAAAAGCAGAATGTTTTGTTAATAGCGACTTGGCCTTCCCGCTACGCTCCGGTCGTTACGGTTTGGTCGTGTCTTCAGGGTCTATAGCGAACAACCCAAGCCGCTACAGAAGTCGCTACGCTTGCTCGTAGGGGTTCATAGCGACCTGATGATGTCGCTACCCTAAGGTCGCCATGATACTTGTTGGATTTGAGCTCTGGTTTTGAAGGTTTGTAGCGACATCTCTACGCCGCTACGGTGGTCGCTACAAAATCTCGTGCAGGTTCATAGTGACCTGATGAAGTCGCTACGCTGGGGTTGCTATGATACTTGATCATTTTCGAGACTTTGGTTATTCACTTCCGTAGCGACCACGCCAAGTCGCTAGACATGCCGCTACGAAAACTCGAGGATGCTCTTAGCGACTTAGGCAAGTTGCTACGGTGAAAAAGCTACGGTACTTAGGCTGGTGACGTGAAACGAGCATAAATTTCCCATCTTGGCTCCAAATCAGCTTCTATGTCTTCAAAATCACCAAAAAGGATCTCCAACACCTGATTCATACAAACGTGATGCAATGCAACCTAAATGCACTCTAAATGTATCTAGAATCTTAAAATGAAAGCTAAAACGAAGCTTAAAAACATGCAAATGCACAATATATCAACTCCCCCAAACTTGTTCTTTATTTGTCCTCAAGTGAACATTCAAAAAATCATAGGAGGAGAGGTTTGAAAGTGGGAGCTCAGAACCAAAAGAAACAACTCTTAGTACTCAACTTAACATCCTAAAGAAACATAGAAAATAGTATGAGCAGACTCTCTTATTATACTCTAGCTTCTCTAGGCCTATCACAACACTCTTATGCCTTTAAGCAAGATGTAATACTCATCAATAAACAAGTT